GAAAAATTGAAATTCGTTCGATAATTTAACGGGTTCAGACAGACACATCGCGGGGCTATATACTATGTTTTTTAAAGGAACAAACACTAGCACTACAGGAAAATCCTTAAGGCGCTTTCAGAGCAGTGCCTGTGCGAAAGTAGCGATTCACATTGGATTTGAATCGCCGGAAATTAAATCCATTTGGTAAAACGTTCTCAGGAAGTTTATTCCACATAATTTAGTAACAAATTGATATAACACTATGAAAGACAAACATGTAAGCATATACGTTCTGCTACCAGGGTGGAGTATGAATAAAATTATCAACTGAATAAAGCTGTCATTGGAGAACCCCTGCAGAAATTCTCATTAAGACATTTAAATGAGAAAATAGATTATTTGTTATTACGGGAATGTAATTTTCTCTCTTCACTGGCTAGAAATTGAATAAAAAAGATCTCGACAACTTCAGGTGTACTGAAGCTGTCGAGATCATTTCCATTTTTTAAATTGAAAGTAATAATAGGATATGTATGTGCTTCTATCATCATGTAGAAAAACTATGAAAATGATTGATAGGTTTGAAATGAGTTATTGCAGTGGCTGATTACCAATTCCGTTACGTTATGATATGTTATGATGTATAGCGAAGTATGCATGCAGTAAATGTAATGAATTTGTAGAAAAATACAAAAAAGCCATGTTGATTTCTCCCCGTATCTCACCTATTTAATTGCATTCTCGATATGTTTTTCTATCATAGAGTTCAGACTTACTCATTTCCCTGTCTGAAATCTTTCTAAAAACTCCACCTCTTCAATATACACAGTGATTCTTGACAAGTTGGAGGCTAGTTGATAATATATTGAAAAGAACAGGAATGTGAACTTCCGGTTATGATGTAATGTGGCATTTCATATGAAACGCCCTACTATAAACGGTGAATATCGAATACCTTTTTCAATTCTGAAATAAGTTTATCTAGATGTTTTATGTCTAATACAAATGTATACGGAGATATTTCCGTATACATTTTTTCAAAATCTCAAAGAAGTACCCAATCGAGAAGAGTCGCATTTTGGAAATAGGTGAATTAATATTAACAGATGAGGATAACTTTTCTAAAAATGAAAAGTTGATTGATTCAAAAGTTATTATTGGGTACCAAAATATCCTAATCTTCTGTAGGAAATATGATTTCAAGATTGATGGAGCTTGAATATTTATTATAGAGTAAAAGATAATACTAGCATTCAACTGTTGTCTTAATTTTTGTAACATACGTACCTACCTCATGTGGTTTATGGGCTCACGCAGATTGTATGGGGTGGGAGTCTGCCAAGGGTAATTAATGTATGCGATTTGTGCTAGATTTTTGTATGATCTTCATTGCCCACGAGGTGACCACAATTATCGTTATCTCAGTGCAATGGGCATCAAAATAGTTTATTTTATTTACTTCTATATTTCCCAAATATGATTATTAAACTGATGATTACTGATCTCAAATGATAACCAATTAAGTAGATTTTGTTATGAGGCGGTTGCAATAAAAATTTAGTTCAATTTCATTTATTCATTTCAATTATTGAATATTATTGGAGTTTTTTTCCAACACCAAATCGTTATTTTTAAACACCTCGTCACGTGTTTCGATCACCAAGTGATCATCTTCAAGAGGAAGATTAAACTGAAAAAATTTGCAAAGCTAACCCTATTTATACTATACGGGTATACCATACAGGTATACCATACAGGTGTACCACACATACAGGTAAACCACAACTTTGGTGTTTTGAATCAATTTTACAATTTGCCTTATCTATTAATTTTACAATACGTCTAGTCTAATCTAATCTAATATTTAAATGTTATAGCTATATGTAAAACCATTTTCAAGCTATATGAAAATTAATTTCACATTTGCCTATTTACTTGTCCTAAATACGTATACCTGTATGGTACACCCGTATAGTATAAATAGGGTTAGCTTTGCAAGTTTTTCCAGTTCAATCTTCCACTTGAAGATGATCACTTGGTGAACGAAACACGTGTCGAGGTGTTTAAAAATAACGATTTGGTGTTCGGAAAAAACTCCAGTAATATTCAGTACTACACCAAAGGATCCAAACAGTGCATCACACATTTCGATTATTGCTTAGGTGATCCTTTTACTCCTTTCTACCCTAAATTCAGGATAGTGTGTGTAACTCAAAGAGCATTGAATAGGATGCCACGGGACAAGAGATCAACACTCTGCTAGCAACAGGGAGGTATTTCGCCTCACTATGAGGTGTCGATAGAATTCTGAAAAGGATGTTTCAAAGAATATAGATCAATATATTTGACCAAGTCTTACGTCAAAATGGGGACATCTTTGTCCATCTAATTGAAATCCATATCTTTTTTCAAGATGTTTTATGATTGAATCCTATATTGACAATTTTTTAATTTTTTAGTTTAACAACATTAGACATATTTTCGACGTTGATTTTTTGACTTTATGGAATATGAATTCAGATGAAATTGTTCTCAACCAATAAATTGATGAACTTAACAACAGACACAATTTTCCAAATATATCGATTATCATATTTCTCTTGTGGAAATTATTATCAATTCATTTGCTTTTTTTTAATAGTTAAATATCTCTGAAACCGTTCATTTTATATCTGGAATTATGTTCAAAATGTCCTTAGAATCTCCAGAAGGATCATTTGAAACAAAAAAATGTTATGATTATTTTCAAATGGCTAAAATGACTATTTATTTTTGTAAGTTATGAGAATATTGAATAATGATCCGTGAAATTATCAATGTTTTCACATTTACCGAAATTCTAGCATTAAAGAATCATTTCGTTACCAGGAGTTTGTAAGGAAATATAAAGAGGTCAAAAACTGTACTGGGTAAACTCATTCACAAACCACATATAAAATAAGGATTTAAAAATTTGTGAATAACCTATCCTGGAACCTAAATGAGCTAGAAACGAGGTAATAATGAATTGATTTCTTGAGGTTCTCCTCAAAGTCTAATGATTTCAGTAAATGATAAATGCCATTTTCTACAACAAATGATTCAAAACAATAAAATGATATTTCTCGCATTAGGGGTTATCCAAATATATCTCACGTATATTATTCAATTTATTGTAGTTCTCTATTTATGAATTATCAATGATTTGTTGAAAAAATATGTTTTTATTTTGCATGATATTATTTGGTAACATTATCATCATCAATTGATTTTACTTGAGTGAAATAATCAGTTCCCTAATATTAATGGGAGTCCAATAATCTAACCAGATAGTTTCTGGGTCCTAGGTAATTTTGAAAATTTCGCTAAACTCTAAGTCCCAATAAAAATCCAAACAGCTGGAACCTAATTGGCTGAGATGGAAAATCAACTAATTCATTTAAAAAATACTATTTCTCATTTTGTCACAACTAAGACTAATTCAGATAAGAAATACCTTGAGCAAACTTCTTGTCTTCTTCAGTTCTTGCTGATACGAAAAGTGAGAGAAGATGAAATAAAAGTTGGGCAAAACTCTTTAAAAAAATTACAGAGTAAATTGATTTCATTAAATTTTTATTTTCATCATGATCCAAAAAAAATTCAAAAATTTGCCATAAAAATAATGAAATAACAATACCCATTGATTTTTTCAAATCAAATAACTACTTCCTTTCAAATATCAGTTTCAGGGAATAATAACCTATTTTAGGTACCACTTTTTGGATCACTGTGGAAGCTTGAAGTTCAACAAAGTATTCAGAATAAAATATTTTTTATTGTTAAAATAAAGTTGTTAACAGATTAAAAATATGTGCAATAAAAAATTAAATCATAAATATTGAAACGGTTAAATTATCGAAAATATTAAGAAAAACCTTATCGAAATATTAGGACAAGTTAGTTAACAGAATTGAACGAAAATTAATAAAGCAATGAATAATAAAATCATTGTGACCTGAACTGAAAATGATTTAATGAATAGTTTAAATTACATAGATATATATTTATATGTATGTTATATTCCAGTTGAAATATGATATATAGATGATAATTTGGCGAGTGGATTTGATATGATCAGAAAAAGGGATAATTCATGGACTGAGCATACAGAAAATATGCAAAACACAGACACGTGTTGACACGTGTTTCTGGCACATTAGCGGTCATCAGTACGGTATAGTCAAATACAAGGTTAGGCAACACTTGCTTGTAGAAACAACACAAAATTAAAAACAAGTAATACTCTTTTTAGTTGCCCGATCTTTCGCTAACTATTGTTGACTCCCTTCATATGTATTGCTTTCGGCAACCAGGTGTTTCCCATGTTTTCACTTGGCTGCAATGCATTCATGAGGCCAATAGACAGAAACACGTGTCCGAGCTTTCGCTAATGTTTATTCCTGTTACCTCTGCTATTTGAGGATTTTTTTTATTTTTAGATTGAACTGTATCGTTCAAAATTAATAATCCAGAAGATAATACCCCCAAATAGCACAGATATGTAACTGTAAACATTAGCGAAGGCTCGGACACGTGTTTCTGTCTATTGGCTTCATTATCAAAACATAGTCGAGAAATTCGGCTTTCAGCCCCTGCTATTCTCCATTCGAAAATGCCGTAGCTCATTCGTTATATTGTAACGCTTTAGTTACAGGTTTTAATCTTAAGAAAAGTCGCCAACCCCATTTTAAATCTCTGTGAGATATATCATTTGGGATATTTTTGTACCTGAATTTTTACTACATAATTGAAGATTTGTTCTCATAAGGATTTTAATTTTTTATACATCTTTTTTCTCAACAGAAATGTCTAACTTGATGCGAGCAATCTGATTTATTTGTTTTGTCGTCAGCTTTGGACCACTCTGATCTATTGGTAAAAAAATTAGTACAAAAAGAAAGTAATTTGCAATTAAATCAGGGAACATTCAGAATTCGACCTCTCAACAGCATCGACGTTTGTACCTGCAATAGCAATTTTCCGTCGCGAGTTGCGAAGAAGACACCGTCGATGATTCTAACGTTACTTGCCCCTTCTTGCATACCGAAGAAAGAACTTTCGAGTCGAGGTCTTCTTCTGCGGGGACGTTGTCCATAGCACAACACCCAAAATTGTCTTCCGGTGTTACTTTTAAAAAGGATGGGCTAGAATACACCCGTTGGACACTTGGACAGTCCACCACATGCCCAAAAGCAAAAGAACGTTGCGGTCTTCAAGTTGAAGTGTTCGTTGAATGAACAGTGTTTTTATATTTTTTGTGAAAAATGAGGTGGCTTATTTTGATGGTAAGAAATTAACTTCTGTAATAAGGTAAAAGAGTAATGACTGAAAGTTGAGGTGTTTCAAATCACTAATCTCAATCCATATAGTTTAAAGAAATAACTTGGAAATATGTCAAGCCTATACCGTTTCATGGAGTGCTTCATTACAATATAACCTATACTTAATATATCACCTGAAAGTAGAGAAAGAAACCAGAGCTACGATTCAGTTTGAAAAATTTTCTATACGTTAAAATACTGAAATATTTGAGGCACTCCCATACAATAATTTCAAAATTAAACCATAAACGGAAAGCTGTTTTGTATACAATAAAAATTAACATACCAAATCAGCACAGTCTTTTCCATCCCGTAATTGAATACAACTTTTATTCATCAATTGCTATTAACATTTTCAATCCTATGTATATTTACTCATTTTAACTCAACGTATATACTTCAAAGAAAATTCGAGTTTCAAATTCTGAAGGAAATAAAACATGTTCTAGCCGCCAGTAGCAACCATGAAGTTTATAAATCAAACAATTTTTGGGTAACAATTATTATAATGCAAAAAACATTGAATTCAGTTCAACGACCAGTGTTTCGGCGGACTTTTGTGCTTTGTCCACAAAGTAGGTTCGCACCTTACAAATTGAGATCTTCATTTTCTTGGACTTGACATAGTTTTCAAAGATTTTTATAGTTGTAATATGTTTTTGGTATAGTAACGATGTTGAATAATTGAGAAACTATGAAGAAGAACTTCCTACCTACTACCCGGACATTTATTTCAGCATGAATTTTGGGAAAATCACAAATACATATATTATATTATGAAATATTTTTATGTTAATTGATTATTGTAAATTAATTCAACAGTAGTCATTTCAACAAGATGTGTATCCTAATGGCAACGTATGTTCCTTCGAACAAAATTCGAAGAAAGATTATAGGTACAGATACACATATGAAAAATATAAAACCAAAGGTAGAATTAAGAAGTTACACCTGTTTCACGTCAGTTAGGAAACACATTATAATATGTATTCTTTTTCTCCTGCAGTCAAATCAATCTGGTTTGAAGATCTTTAGACTGTATCATTTTTCAATTAATTTTAAAGAGCAAAAGAACGCATGGAGGGTGAAAAAAATTATGCAATTGACATTAAAAAAAATTAAAGCGTTGCCAAATATTTACTAATATATAGAGTATCGAGTAGAGATGTGGCGTATCAAAGTTACTTTCTCATAAAATATAAGATAGCATCTTCAATATTCGGATTCCGGTAGGAAAGTCCTTTCCTACCGGTCCACAAAACCAAAAAGCTAACCACCCTCCATTTCAATGAAAACTTACTTGAATAGTCTATTTTGTTATGAGAATATTTATTTTTCTGATACTAGGTGAATCAAAACTTGAAAACATTTTTTGCTTGATACCCTTCATTTCAAACACCCAATGGAAAAACGTTGCCTCACAATGTCAGTGGTTTAGCTTTAAATAGCAAGAATAAAATAATTTTTTAAACGTTTTATAAACGGTATCTGAAATGGATTGTTCGCCAACTTTCCAATATTTCAATTTATCTGAGATCTTCACATCAACGAGTTTGTTGAAACTGATTTTTGTTTAAGTTGGAATACTTAACACTTCCTAAGGAAATAACCTTTTACTTTCCCAAGCATTATTTATGTCACAGAAGTTCATCTCACTATGACGATAAATTAATTGATGTCTTCAAAATAAAATTATAAGTTGTTTTGGTAGTGCGATCATGGTCATAAGGAAATAAAGGTAATCAGAATGCTGGTGCCCTTATTAAGGTGAAAATCATCAGTATTCCCGACCCGTAATTCCTAATCTTTTCTGTTACCTCGTAAGAAAAGGCTACCGACAAAGATTAATAAACAGTTTCTACGGGTAGAAAAGCAAAACCTGGGATTGGTAATGAAACAATTGGCAATACACCGTCACATTATTCACTGAGTCACAGCAAAACAAATGAACAGTGGGAACTGTTGCTACTGCGGCTATTAAAACTGAACCGTAGGACCATTAGTTTCACCTGAAAATCCAGTAGTATGCAGAGCTCGTGTGTACAAATGGCGTCATACCTATGAAAATCTATGAAAGAACTGTTTGGTGGTTATGCGTTCGAAATAAAAAGTAGACATATTTAAAAAACACTCATACATTAATGTTTGGAGTTGCCACTTAGAACTCTTTCAAATATGTTAATCTGATCTTCATAAATTATATCGTTGATTTCGTTCCAACTTATTTAATAATGGTTTCATCCGATATAGTTACTATAATATATGTATTTTTGTATCAATACGGAAGATTATTCTTTTAGAGTTTTCGAACCAACCCTTTTAGTAATAATCGGTAAAGAAAAGAAGAAAACAAATTCAGAATCAAGTACTAGTTTACACATCAAAGTTACTGACTTGAAATCACGACAAGATGACAGACATCAAAGATATCACCTTTTTATAATTCTGCTGAAACGATTATGTGAAGATTCAAACTGACAACTGCATTTTAATTCATGCTATATGATCTAGTAATAAAAAATACCTTAATTTTATTAGTTCCATTGTCTTCCATTGTCTATTAGTATGATTCTACTATAATTCGAAATCTATGCGTCAGCTTTTATCAATGCAGGGCCATATCACATGTTTCGCTATCACACTAGCTTTTCCGTAGCGAAGTCACTACGTAGTTTATGAAATTGATATTCTTTCGATAAATAGTGAGTGACATTTTCAGTCTAGATGCCATCTCTAGTTTGATAGAATTGAGGTTACAGCTTCTACAGATAATATCAATGTATTATGAAATCGGGCATCAGAGTTTAACCAAAGACACAGATTTTTGCTTTCTGAAACTACGGATAATTTATTTTTGACTGATTTTATATCTACAGACTCTCCGATTTTTAGTCTTCTTCTTCTTGGTAAATAATTAACTGAGATTGCATTCAGTTTAAGATTGTGTGTGTAAATATATCAAGTAGGTTCTAAAGGTTTACATTAACTTTTCCTATTGAATATAAGAACATATTATAGACTTTCATGGTCATGATATCATTAGTAGTATATGCAGAATACAGCAGGGTTAACATGAAAACACTTTTATGTGAAAGTATATACTTATATTGTTTAACTGGCCATACAGTCAGTGTCAGATATGTGTGAGATGATCGATTCTCAAGTTTTTTTCAAAATTACGAATTTCATTTTTACTTTCTCTCCACCAGGTATATATCGTATCATTCTCAAAGTGTTGGTCAAAATAAGTCCATCAACATTAAAATGAAACTATATCTACCGTTGTCTACTCGCGTGTAATAATTATGTTCGCCGTGTCCTCATTGTTTTTCGAAGAAGGCAAATTGCTTCCAAAACAGGGCCGGCAGTATCTGATAATTGGGTACAAGTTCAAAGTGCGTAATACAATATATATTTTGATATATTGATATATATCAATATATATTTCAACGTGGAAAATCAGACAGTGAGATTCTCATTTTGAGAACATCAAAGTTAATGAATAAATTAATTGTATTCTTATTGGTATTATTACTTGGCACTTCGCAATGATTGAAATCATCAATAAGATGCGCAAGTGAAAAGGTGAATAAGTGCAGGAAACTGAAATGGATGGCATTATTTCTGTTGAAAACATCGTTTCAATCCTGATAATCGTCTTTCATATCGAGCTATTTAATCTTGAAACATTGGACTTAAGGGCTACCTATTGAAAACGGTACCATGACATGGTAACCTGGAATACCCCCAACATTTCTATTACAAAATGTACGCATAGAGTCTCTGCGAAAACTTGTCATTGCTTCAATGCGCGTTAATCAATAGTGGGAAAACTGTCCAAAATCTTTTTTTAAAGTCTTCGTTATCGACATATATGCACTAAGGAAGTATCATGGCTGTCCCATCAATTATTGAACGAGGAAGCATCAATTAACTTTAATCTGAATGAATAGTAATTATAGCTATGTATTTTGAAAATGGGCGATAAATGGAATTTATCCAGAAAAATGTATCATAAAAGTGTTGAATATAATAAAATTAAATTCAAAGCCTATGAGCAATGAAGAAGTTGCTGTTGCAAATATAGAACTTGGGGTAATAGCCAGCTGATAATATTTTTGAACTTTCTATAAGCACACAACTAATTCCGAAAGAGTAAAAATTTCATCCTCAAAAGCTTCAGAGTCCATGACATTACGGTTTTTTATATAACATTAAGTAATTACAAAACTTGATCAGATAAATCCTGGTAAAGCAGATAGATTTTGAAAAACAATCCCAATACAATAGGAATTGTAGAAAAACAGGTTCAAATACGTTAATTATTGGTATTTCTTGCTAAAAAAAAACAAATATTTGTTTACATAACTCATAAACTGTGAATAATTCATTTTTAACTGTAAGTAATTTTTATTTATTAATTTTGACCTCAAAACTAGGAATAGCTTTGGCTAATGTTTCGCACACTAGTAGTATATTTAAAATATAAAAACACTGATCCGTTACTTAATGTACAATGATAATACCATCCATGATAATAAATAGAATTTTTACAATGAACGACATATTACATACAGAAAATAAAGGACAAAAATGAAATGCAAACATTCAAATTTCCTTCTGAACGACCAACAAGAAGTTATTCAGTTGCTTCCTTAAAATGTCAATGATAAATAAATTTATAAATTACCCGTCTTTCTGTTAGTAATATTGTACCTACTGTAATTATTTTTTTTAAATCTACCTACTTTTTCAGAATTTATCACTTATCTGACTGAGTTTTGAAATACAATGCAAATGTTCTACATGTTTTCCTAGAAGTAATATTTTATTGTAATTGTTTTTTCAAAATCTTCCTTTTCTACCAGAATTATTCTTTTATCTAATTAGGTTTTGTAATTACCTACTGTTATATAAAATACATTGTAGAATAGTTTGATGTACCTACCAGTACAACTGATGAAGCTATACCGTGTACCAAAACGGGTTTAAATGAATTCTTTGTAAAAATTCTTTAATTATTACCTATATTATCATGGATAGTATATTCAAATGACAGATGACAATTCATTCACAGAATAATTATTGAAGTGCTGATGAATTCTCTGAAATTGACCCACAATGATAGCAATAGGTTAATTTTTAGTATATTTCAAAATTAGTGGCAATTTTTCATCGAAAGGTCAGGTTCTTTTGGTTTAGTAGTATCTATAGTTTGTCGACTCATATCGAATGCACAAATTGATGAAGCATGTGTAATCTTTCGTTGCCCCAACTGTATAGAACTACTTTACATTTTAACATCTTCCTAATGTCCGTGACTTCACGACCTAGAGAAAACTGTAAAACTAAATCGGCAAATTTGCAGATGAAAAATCAATTTTATGCAAAATGCGACCTTAAATACCTTGAAAAATCTAATCTGATGCCCAACAACATATGAACCTATATGAGACCTGCGACCCACACACACTCCAGTGTTATATGTTAATTTATTGATACCGTTAGCTGTCGCTTCATAATAACATAAAATGCAAATATTCTGCCTGTTTTCCTAGAAGTAATATTTTATTGTAATTGTTTTTTCAAAATCTATTTTTTCACCAGAATTATCCATTTATCTAATTAGGTTTTGTAATTACCTACTGTTATATAGAATACATGTAGAAAGATCGACTTTATATAGTTATATTATAAACTATTCTGGAGCGAGGATTCATTGTGAAAATGAATTGATGCTGTAACGTTTAATGATTGATGAGACAGCCATGATACTGCCTTGGAACATAGATGTCGATAACGAAGACATTTTGACCGTTTTCTCACTATTGAATAACGCTAATTGAATACAAGCAATGACAAGTTTTCGCAGAGACTCTATGCATACATTTTGTAATAGTAATGTTGGGGGTATTCCAGGTTACCATGTCATGGTACCGTTTTCAATAGGTAGCCCTTAAGTCCAATGTTTCAAGATTAAATAGTTCAATATGAAAGACGATTATCAGGATTGAGCATGTCACCAACTTTTTTTAAATGAATCACCCTATATTGTTTCGCATTATCAGATGCTCCATGATGAGCAGATTTTAACAAAGTATAAAATATATGGTCTGAATCTTATGGTTCGGTAGCTACAAATTATTTGAGTTGAAAACGGGCCACCCTGAATAAATTTTGAAACAATGATCTGCAGGAAAAATAAAAAAGCAGGTCAACAATTATACAGGAGGCCACATCTTGAAATATCCGTTCTAGAGACAAATATAGACACAATAAATAAAAAAAAGAGAGTTATATTACTCCTTGAATCAAAAACTGATGACTGGGCAATGAGAAGAAAATATGTTCTATAATAAATGTTGAAAAACGTTTCCACCAACTTCCATACAATGGTACAAACGAGCTTCCATTACCGCCCTCACATCGTTGAGAATCTCGGGAGTTATTTCTCTGCCATGCCTCATGATATTCTCTCTCAAATCTTCTAATATTGTTGATTCTATCTCATACACTTTGGACTTCAAATTACCCCATCAAAAAAATGTACAGGAATGAGATCCGGAGACCTTGGTGGCCATTCTGTGAGACCTCTTCTGCCAATCCAGCGAGTAGGAAAATGATCATCCAAAAAATGTCGCACTGTAGCTGCATAATGAGGAGGTGCACCATCCTGCTGAAAAACTATTTCGTTTTCGAATAAATTTTTATCCTCCTCAATTGATCTATTGATGCACGGTATTATTCGATTCTCCAACACATCCAAATATTCATCTCTAGTCAAATTGTTATCCATTAAAAAAGGTCCTATGATGTGGTCACCTAAAATTCCTGCCCAAACATTCAGTTTTTGAGGTCGTTGGGTATGAACTTGACGGTAAAAATGAGGATTCGTGTCACTCTAATATCGACAATTTTGCCGATTCATATCTCTATTCAAACTAAACGTACATTCATCCGAAAATAAACATTTTGAATTTTATCAGTGGAAAATGTTCAATAGCTTCACTGAAAAACGAATTCTTTCATTTTCAATGAAAAAATGATTAATTCCAATTTTGATTTTTCTAGATGTCGGCAATCGTTGCAGTTCAATGTAGGCCTCAAACAGAAAACCCACAGAGTTCAGGATCAACAGTTGAGTAAGTATTTTTTCGAATAAACCGCTTGCATTGGTGATAATATTTACTAATATTGTAACTTCCATGTACTTAGATTAGTTTTGGAAATGGTTGACTCTTGGTTTCTGATAGTTATTACCGAAGTAGTGAATATAGTTGTAACGTTTCTCTTTGTGTTCTGGTGTAGTTAGAGAAGAATTAGAAGATTTTTTCCGTGGTAAGTTCCGGTCTTACTAATGTAAATTTATACTTACCGATTAACATACTTGACAATTCTCAAAATTAGTTTTTTATTTTTTGTTTTTTCTGTTTTAGAATTGAGAAACAAAATATCATCGAAATAAAACCCGAAAAAGTTGACCAACAAAAGATAGCAGAAAATACAAATGAAATTTTGGAAAAAATAGCAGAGGTAAACAAAAAGCAAGGATTATCAACACGAAAGCATACTCCAAACTATTTCCATTTCCCTACAAGTTTTTCCAGGTCACAAGACGGAACAAAATCGAAGGAAACACCACGTACAGATTTTAGATTTGCAACAAACCCTTTCAGCAATCCGATTTTTGAGTACCTGGAAAGAGAAAAACAAGAAAATTCCAATCCAAATGAATACCAAAAAAGAGTGGTTACAGAAAACAACAGACAACCTCCAGATTTTCGTTCACATCCACTGGGGTATGAGATGTCTTCTTTTAACAACGCAGACGTTTCAGAAGAAGACGAGATACCAGGACAGTACGTTAAAAGGAAAATTGTCCACCAGCAAACATTCATAGTCCCCAATCCAAGTATGCTGCCCGCTTCTAACAACCTGATTCCCTCCTATCCTCAAACAAATTTAATACCAGTCGTTATGCAATATGGAAACTTCGAAAAAGTCAAAGAAAATAGTACTGACTCCAAAAATTCCGTTGATAATCTGGAAAAACAGACTGTAGATAATGTAAGAAACATTGTATCTAATTCTCAATTCAAACAAAGCTCAGCCTACCAGCCTTATGAAAATCCCTTCTTACAACATTTTCAGGCCAATGCTCCGAACCAAATACAGTATGGTTTAACAAACAGGGATGTTTTAGGTCAATATCCTACAGGCGGAAATCCTTTAGGGCAACTTTCGAATGGTCCTCTTGGGCAAATTTCCAGTAACGGATATAACTATCAGGTATACGGGCCGTTCGGTGGGCAAAATTTCGAGAAAGGTCGTCAAAATTGGAACTGGCCAGGTTCCAACTATTTTCCGATCTACATTAGAGATCCTTTTGTACAAATGTATAACGCCATAACGAGCATGATAGAATATGGACCAAATGCTGGACAACAGAGTCCATGTGGAAAAACGAAACCAAAATCGGAATCCTTGTTGAGAGAAGGTAAGGTAGCTTCAGAGGAAGGAACGAAGATCAGCGTCGAAGTTGACGGTAACAGTCCAGCTCCTCAAATTACTATAACCGGAATAGATTCAGAAAATAATACTAATACATATCTGGACATAGAAAACATAGATATTGGATCAAGAGGGGACAATAGTTTGAAGTTCAGTATGAGCGTAAAAAAAGAAGAGCGAGAAGCTAAAGATACAGAAGAAGCAAGGTCAACCTGGGATAGAATCAAAGTTACCGGAAAATCCGGTGGTTTAGTGTTGAACGCATCACGAATGAGCAGCAAATTTTCCGAAAATTCCAAAGATCTTAGACCGATTTCGATATTGAAAAATCAAATACTGCCGAAATCAACACCTAAACCCACCATCATTTCGCCACCACTTCGAGATCCTACCAGGCAAACTAACGAGTTTGGAGACGAGACCGAAGAAGACAAGAGCGAGGAACTCATCTCCAATGATCACAATAAGAAGCTGTTCAGCAGAGATAATACGGGAAGTGGTGTTTTCATTCATAAATTAAAAGTTAGGAAAGGTGGTGTTGCTATAGCGGGTCCAGGTGGAATAGCGACGGCAGGAAGCGGTGGTACTGCAATTGTCGGGCCAAATGGCATTGCTTATACCCAACCAGATAGTCTTGCCATAGCTGGTTCCGGAACCAAGGTTGTTGCTGTAGATCCAACAATAAATCTGGGGGATTTAGTTAATAACACCGCTGGTGGTAACAGTAGTAGACTTGATGCATTATTTCCCCCTTCTAGGGTGGGAAAGGTTGTAGCAGTGGGACCGGTAGTTTATTATAATAGGGGGTAGGGGAATGTGAGCAATTTTTTGTACATAGGTTGATAAGTGACTTTATGAGGATTCAATCAAAAGTTTTGGTCATTTGCTCCGAATGACGTTCTGTTAACGTAATCGTTAATAATTTTTTTTGTTAAAAAATTATGATGAGTAATTCGAATGCTGAAATCGATACCTATGATTTCCGAATGATTTTGTCACCATTTAATGACTCCAAAGCCAAAATGAAAACATGCAATAATTAAAAATCAAGAATACGTTCAGAAATTTGGAATATTTATCCATTTTTTTTCAATGTGGAAAGTATATAGGTATGGTCTCAAAGAGTTCGAGAATATATTTTTAAAACTGTTAGCTCAACCTGCAGTGGAAATTCAAAGTTTTACATTTTCATTTTCAATTTTAATACATATAAAATGTTAACTCGGTTATATCCAAGCAAAAATATGGAATAATGAAAAAAAATTGCATTGGGATTATGTACTAAAACAAAAATCTTTGTTCTGCAATTTTTCAAAATATAGATAACTTTCCAAACTATTTCATATTTTCTCCAAGTAATGCGTTTGGAACGTCGTCAGAGCTTATGATCAAATGTGGAAGTCTTCTTTTCGAGTCATCTTGAGGTGTCATTTGTCTATATATTTTAATGATTGGATTAAAAATTTTATTTTTCATGTGTCAATTTCATTTGCGTTTTCATAAAAATTAACTATTTTACTATCACTGTAGAAGTACTTGTTAGTGAAAAAAAAAACCTTAAATTTAATAATGCCTATATAAATGAATTATCTTTAATAATGCAGTACCAGTACCAAAAGAATAGCTGGATTGCTACTCAATTCAAATTATTAAAATATGATAGATATTCAATCCGTTACAAATTATTTGAAAGATTAGAAAGGAGTACTATGTTGAAATTGAAAACCTGAGATTGAACAGATTCACAATGGTATAACAATGTGAGTTCGTCTAATAAAGCTACTCGTAGTTCAAGTGTTTTCCAAAAAGGTTCTATGAAAAATATAAAAATGGGAAATAATAAAAAAATAATGTATGTGAAAGGAAGGTTTTGGCTTCCTGCTTCTCCATCTTTATACAAAAAATGTGGGAATATTCCAGAGAAAAGGAAGCAATGAATTTCAAAATAAACTCTTTACAAAGATGTGTAGATCATGCAAAGAGGTAACTTTCAGACACAAACTGGAAGAAAAAGGTCTTTCGAAACAACTAACACCATATAAACGTTGAATTACACAAAAGAAATAATACTTTCGAAACAACTACTTTCATATGAACATCGATTTATACACAAAACAGTTTTTCCTATTCAGTTGTACTCCAAATAATTTTAACTTACACTGTAAAAAATATTTCACACCATCTAACACCAGCTGACACCGACTGGTGTCCATATAGGTCCTCATTTTTTCAGTGACAAATAACACTGACATATTTTACACTACTAAAAGGATCATGGGGAACACCAAATATGGTGTTATTCACAACACAAATTTTATTTCAAATTAATATTCCTTTTATTGATTTTTGAGTTCACTCAGTGTGTTTTCAAATTTTCATGGTGAATATTATAAAAAATTTCGGTGTAAAATTCAATAATTTTTGGTGTGTATAAACTACAAAAAGGTTTCCTTCAACATTTTTGTAGTGCAATAAAACACAATTTTGGTGAAATGTTACAAAATAATAGTGTGAATCTACCCTACATCTGGTGTGAATTTACATCAACTGGTGATGTTTTTTTCATTTTATGGTAATATTTTTAATATTCAAGTGTTTTTCTTTAATTCAGCTTCAAGAATGTTATTCCTGACAGTGGTTTATAGCACTTTTTCGGTGTGAAAAAGCACTACTTTGGAGTGAATCAGGTCTTTCTCTTTAAATATTTTGGGTGTAAATTTACACTAGATGGTATTATATCATATTCTCCTGGTGCAAAATTATTTTTTTTTTATTTTGAATGTATACTAGCACCAGTGTTTCTGTAAAAACATTTCGTGTAATTCTCAACTTAATTTAATGTATTTGTAAAATACATTGAAATGATAAATATTAAAAAAACACCGGTTGTTGGTATGAATTCGAAAGAGTTACTCAAAAAATTGAATTCGCCTGAAAAAAAGAAAGAAAAACAAACATAAATCATGTATAAATTCCATTTATTATCAAAAATGTATCTGTGGAAAACATATTTTCCTCAAATAAAAATAACGTTTATTAGAAATAATAGAAAACCTAACTGACATGATTTTTGTTGACAATTGGTCTGATACCAAAATATCAATAATTCAAACTTAAGAATATTATTAAATAAAAACAGATTTTGGAGTTCTTTAGTAAGATTAATTTCCTCTGATGTTATCGAAACATTCTGGTCATGAAGGTGGTTGGCAGGAGGATTGTTTATCTCTATTTTACTTATTCTATTTAAAATTGTCAGTCGATTTTCAGGATACCTGAAAAGTTACCTAGGGTTGAAAAAAAATTCCTAAAATATTACATTTTCATTTTACATCTAAACACAAAAGTCATCAATTATGAACTCACGTAATCCCCTGAAGAACTTTCCGAATTTGTGTACAGTGGGAAAATATCAACTAATTTTTTTGCGCACTCCATTTTTGCACTCTTGGGTACTGCACTCCCATATTTTTCATAAAGCACATTTGCAGCTATGTTTCTGCTTCTGTCAGTCAACAGTTTATTCTTCTGGTACTCGTCTATTATGTACTGCCCGCCACGAGTAATTTATGTTTGTAGATCCTACAAAATAATAATTATAACAATGATGTGAACACTGAGTTATGGCAAGGAAAGCCTAATTCTACATAGTAAGTACTTACATCTACATCTAAAATATTTTCCATTCTTTAGCTAATTGATAACATAGATGTAGAGCTATTAGTTCTATCAAATATATTAGTATCACATATTGCCTTAAAAGTGGAATCTACAAAACCAAGTCCGTATTTGTAATTGATTTTTTGATTTGAAAGGTCACAGTAAATTTTTGAAAACCTCGAATTTAAACGAAATAAATTATATTTTGTGAGAAAATATATTGGAAAAAAATGTATTATTCACCTGACAATATGTCCAAAGGAGCTAAGGTCTCGGAAATCGGATCAGAATTTGAAAATATCCTCAAATAAGATTCTTCTTTAGATTTGCAGAAAAATTACAAAAAATCGTCTTCAATTTCAGTGAAGTCTTTATCTTTTTGAAAAAAAATTATTTCACTTTGAATACCCATCTTTTTTTTACTGAAACAAAGACAAAAACTGTCATAATATAAGAAACAGATAGTTGGTGTACTCTAGTAAGCGGTGTATTTTCTGAATCGGAATTTTGCTGTCCTACACCAGAGGGTGTTAAACCACGCCTAGGAGTGTTGGTTGACACTGAATCGGATTCTATGCAGGTACAAACTGGTGGTTAATCATCAATTCCAAACTTTTATCTCAGGTAAAATATTAACGGAAAAAGGTGAAATTAGACACATGTTCTTTGAAATCACCTATAAAATCTTGAAGTTAAATCAATATGATACTTATGGAAGTTTAACCAACCATAATTCGCTGAGAGAGTAGACTTAGGCATGTGAAATAAAATTTAAGAAACACTTACTTTCAGCCTTGATTACTTCCGGAGCCAAATCGATAGCTTATCCACTTTTCAATGCATTTTTCAAATTTCCACCAGAGGAACAATTGCCACAGAAACTGAATAATGCACTAGTGCGATGTATAACAGGACTACTGAATGTGATGTAGGATACCTTTTATAGAAATTGCTAGCGTTTTCTATATAGATACACCAGTAAAATTCCTTCCAGAAGTTTTAAGTTTCAAGATGTCTGATATCCAACTTCATTATACACAATAACGCCAACCAAGCACAGACAATAATTGGTTCCCAATATAAAATTTTTTACAAACAGACGTCCTACTGAGTGTAGAAGTAACTCTTTCAAATCCACGGCTGTCTGACTGATTTGATGCAATACTAACAGTGGCGCTATTACAGCGTTGCCAGTAAAATAGTAAAATAATAAGACCTCAGTCAAATAAAAGTTCAAATACATTTTTTGGTATATAAAGTAAGTGTTTATTTTGTATTCCAGCCTCAGAAAAATTAATTGAATGATTATTTCTTCCGTCAAATAGTAATTCCACAGAAATCCAGGTTTCAAATCTAGGAAACATTTTTGTCTCAAAGGAAACATGTGAACTGTTCAATAGATACCACTTTGTAATTTTATAACCTGAGCCAAATCTTTTTCCTAGTGTCCATGATGATGATGATGTCCGTGATGAAACCTGTGATGGATCGAAACAGCTCTGTTTGATATTGGATAATGGGTGGAATGCTTCGTTGCTTATTAATTTCATAACTCTATGGTTGGCTGGAAGAGCAAAATGTTGTTTTATGAACAAGATTTTTGAACTATACCATTGTATTGATTGGTGGGATCGGTGGGATCCTTTCCACGAAGCTTCGACCCATTCGGAGGGCGCGCTGGCTATGGCTAATGACCATTCCACACAGCTTGGGGTAGGTGATCACTGGGTCCGAAAATCATGTGCCCTGAGTAGATTTAATAAACCAAAGATTTAATAAGCCAAGATTTCTGCCGTATTGCGACAAGCCGGTATGATCTTAAGATTTTAGAGTAGGGAGGGCTTCATTCCACCAAGGACTCCAATAATCAGAACAACAATTTCAACAGAGTGGTTTGAGTAGCGTCTGTGAAGTTTGAAGAATAAATCTCGATATTCCATCCGTTTTTCCTTCTCTGTGTGGCTCTGTGGCCTCAACTCCATAGAGCTTTTTGAAAAATATTGGCCAAATGAAGTATGGCAGCACTGTCAGTCAATGAATAATATACCAAATGAGTGAATTGAAGTACTACTCTGTGCCACTAGTAGGTACCTAATGGATAAAATGTTTCAACCATAAAAGGATTTTAACATTATAAATAATAATGTGTAGAAAAAATAAGGACAATTATGGCATACAAAGAGTATGTAAGATAGAAGTTATAATTTTTTAAATCTTTGCACCATATTTCAAAATATATCAATTACTTCTCAAGCATGAAGTATCTTGTTAACTGTCCACTAATTACTTTTATCAATTTTTTTTCAAATTAAATTTAACAAATATATAACTTCATTATAAAAATAACACCTAGAAATGTTTATTTCTGCAGAAATATGGTGCTTCTTACAAATTAACATTTCAGTGATCAAGAATATGTCATATTTGCGTACGATATTTACTCCTAATTGTCATAATGTAATAAAATTAGTGTAACTTATTAACTTTGGTGTACTTTTTGATACCTGGTTTGAGGTAACACTAAGATATGTGAAAGTTTGTGAATGTTTCTTTCACAAACTGTACAAAACACCGCTATTGGATTGATCACTACATAATGGAACACAAGTTACACCATAGTATTATCATCTTGATAAATATGGCAGATCTATAATATTTTGGTGTTATATTCAATCGGAGTGAATTGTGAAAACTCGTTTATTAAAATTACACTCAAATATTTTTTACTGTGTATGTTTTGAATAAGAACTGAATAGGAAAAAGTGTTTTTGTTTAATTTAATGTTCATATAAAAGTAGTAATTCAATGTTTATATAGTGGTAGTTGTTTCGAGAGAGTTTTTTCTTCCTGTTTGTGTCTGAAAGTTACTTCTTTGCATGATCTACACATCTTCGTGAAGATTTTATTTTGAAATTAATTGCTTTCTTCTTTTCTTTGGAAGATTTTTCACATTTTTTGTATAAAGATGGAAAAGTAAAAAGTCAAAACCTTTCTTTCCAAAAAATGAACCTCTCCTCAAAATAAACCCCTTTCATTTTATAAAAATAATTTTTCTGTGTATTGAAATTCAAATTTTTCGCAAAGTATAGTGTGAAGTATATGAAGGACTGTGATGAAAATTTGGGTAATGCTTAGATATATTATATCTGAGAAATCATTAGATATTCATTTTATCGTTATCCATGCTAACTACTCACAAAAGTTTCAAATTGAACAGTTCTTTTTGGCTTTGAACTGTAGGAAAACAAAATTCTGAAAAAAATTCTATTCTTTATTAAAAAAACATATTTCAAAAATTTTTATACATTTTGAACTCGATTGCAATATTCAACAGTCTTCAAAAGACGTTTATTAAATTTTTCAGAAAATCGAAGGACTAGTGATTTATCATAGAAAGAAATCTGTAGTAAAAAACACATACAGTGCATGCTTGTTGAAACGATCCACAATCACAATAAAAGGTCATATAACTTTTGAAATTTACTTCAAGGTGGTTTGTTTCACCTGAAAACTTGTATTTGTATTTTTGTGATCCTTCGATTTGACAAGATCAAGAGAGTATTGCCTGACAAAATTCATAACAAGAATTGGGAACAGGCTTCAGGTACTTTACTGGAAAACCCCAATCATCATTTCTCATCTGAACAATCAGAAGGATCGGTGAGTTCAGGCATTTTACTATATTCATAAGGAATCACTGTGAACAGAATAATGATGCGAAAGTGACACCGTCTATCTTATGATAGACATGCTAGAAAAGTATATTCCTAGACTATATGAGTATTCAGGAGTACCTTGGTTGCGCATCATCTTGATTTAAATTTCAAACATCAAAGACAGGGAAAACATTGATTATTGATAACATTCAAATATTAGTTGTTTAACGAATTCATTGCAATATTCGTTCAAAATAATGTTGAAGTCAGCTCTCTATAATCATCGTCCATAGATACTCTAATTAGAATATCTATGGACGATGCTATAATGACTAGTACCTTCGAAAAATATCTCTCAGCGAATCTGTGTGATAAATATATCTCAAACATTGCAAAGATTCCCAGAAGGTGTCGAATTAGCAGATTTTTTTTGTGATATATTTCAAAATTTATAACACTTCCAAAATACTAATCTTGAAATTATAAAACAACAAAAATTAATTGGCGCTTCCAGTATCGCATTTGCTTTTTCAGCTGCAGGAAAACCCGAAAAAACCTGCAGCACCACATCATCTGAAGATCTTGATCTGCCAATGTCCTCTCTCTCATAAAACAAAATGTAAGGTGTCTCCAGAGGCTCCAATAAATTCAATACATTGCCAGAACACTTAGTGACACGACTATCGTCAAACTTAAACCAGTCGGTTTTGTATTCGCGTTTTTAGTGGTGAACACTTTAAAACTGATATGATTTTATTTTATTTATCTCTTCGTTGTCCCTTAGTTTACTGTTGAATACCGATTTCAAGATTCTAATAAATATTCCAGGAACAGATCGATCTATAATTTTGATTAAGTGTTTTTTAAAAAAACAATTTAACATACATATTTCATCTGGTGTATCTCTATTTTTTTAAATTCCGAAGTAACCTTGCCGGGCTAATTCCAAAAATATATCATAGATGCAACAGTACAAAAGTGTGTTGAGAATTGAATTAAAACGTTACATGTTATGATTTTTATGATGAGAATACATGGAGAATGAGTATACGAAAAACAAAAAAAAACACTAAATAATCAAAATATTTTCTCTTGACTACTAGGCAATGACCTACTCGGGTATTTAATTCATACAAAGCATTTTATAAGTATATTCTATTATTGTTTTCAGAAGCAATGAATCAAAATGAAAAATTTACCTCTTTGGGAAATTTTCAATAGTATTATTTGCTCAGCTCACAATGAATTTATGAGCTACCTTATGATTGTATTACATTCAAAATTTTGTCGAAAAAAAAAACAATATTCGTGGAAGAGTGGTAGTGTCAAATCTGGAAAAAATCTAAGAACAGAAGTAATTGCTTGAAATATGTTGAATTTGTTTCATTTCACAATTTTTCTATAATTCGAAAGTTTTTTTTTTCATTTTACTTGTCCTTTTACATTTTTACAGTCATCTTCATTACAAAGCGGCTAGCTTGTCTGTATCTAATCTCTACTAATACTCAACATTGTAACAAACCGTTATTACTTATTCCCTATTTTTATTTTCCCAGATTTATTTCATTTCCTAATGGACTTCGCTTTCCTATATGGCTATCTCATCCCACCGACCAAATTCAATATTTTGGACACCAGAACATACCTCTAATCTTTACTCCCAAAAACAACTTTTTTCTCCACAACTTCCTTCAACCGTTCACAGAAGTCAGACAACAACGTCACACTGCAAACAACAATAAAGATACTGATGAAACAGAAACTTCAGCAAATTCAAATTTTAATAGAAACTCTCTCACTTCTGGATTCAGGCGGAAGGAAAATGATGATGAAGAAATTGCTGATTTCATCTTGGCTTCAGAAGGAGGTATGAAGAACAAGCCAAAAATAACGTCAGTTGGACAAATTGTGAAAGTAAGTAATTTTAGCAGCCAGAAGAAACCACTACTCACTCAGATCGACCAAAGTGAAAAAGTGCCACTGAAGAAACCGTCCTCTTTAGCACCTTATAGACTTCACCCACTATTTCATTACTTAAAAAACAAGAACACCATTCAAAAAAACAGGGTAATACGTTTCCGAAACAATAAAGAAAAAATCGACAAGGACATTACAACTCTCATACTGAAACCTGTAGCGAAATCTGTAGCAGGGGTAGATGGAAAGGCCATATCTACACCACTATCAAAGGCTGTTTTGAGGCAAGGGACTAACGTTGATATACTCTTTGAACCGGAAGCGGTGGCTATTGCAGGACCCGGAGGAGTAGCTCACGCGGAGAGTGATTTAGAAATAACTTATGAGGATGTGTGAATACTATTGAATAAGTTGTACATTGAATGTAAATTTATGAACAATATGTCTCCAGATAGTGACCAATTGAAAAATTGGAGTGAGTTGAGATAAGGATTTCTGCGCACGTTTACATTATATAATGTATACGTCAAAAATGTTGATAATTCAAAAGCTTAGTAACCATATATATCTTAGATCCTGAAGTGTTAAAAATGGACAGATATTGTCTCATATAGTTGGTAGGTTGATGGTAGATAATTTTATAAACTCAAAGAGTTCCTTTATTTTAAAGTTTCTGAAAATACATCAAAGAAAATATTTCACTTCAGTTCAATTAACAATATTGAGATGAAATATTTACTTGAATATAATTTCAGTTCACTAACTAGTCTAGTGAAATAATTAAACTTACAATAAAAAGTAATTTCATAAATTATTTGAAACCTCTTGATATTCAAACTGAGATCAATCACTTTTTTTGAAAAATAACACAGAATAATTATATGATATATTCAGAATAATA